TTTGATCACAACTATCTGCACCAAGCCATGAGGAGGTAAAGATTAAAGAGCAATTATGGCGAAGTTTATGTATGCATTCTTCGACCTGGGACCTCCCGGCGAGATAGACGTCAAAAGGCGTAAAGCCTTGGAATCGATTGCGGATTGTCAGCCAGAAATGTCTGTCACCTATGACTACTTTGCTCGGCAACTCGACCGGACAGAGCCTAACGTCGATGTAAGCATCGCATCTTGCAAATGTGACGGACAAAACCCTAAACTGTCGTGCAGCCATTAGTGTTGCATAGATATCGAGTCACCGACGCGTGCAACACCTACATTCAAGAGTGCGCGAAGAGAATAGTAGGCCCGCACAGAACAATGCTCGCCCGTGTGATCAGAACCTTGCTAATATAAATAGACTCCAAATCTGAAACGATATTTGAGCACCCAATTGCTGGAACTTAGAGATGAAGCACCAGACGTACAGTTCCCAGCATGTCTTGAAGCACTAGCTAAACTGAAGCCAAGAGAGGAAGGTTTTGCAGAGGTTTTGCTACCTATGTTTGAGACAAGTTTAAAGGAAGATGTTCAAGTGCCGGACGCGGACCTGCCGGATCTCATGCACACAAAGAAGGTTGAATGGGACCCGGACAAGGCATTACATATTCACAACTGTCGTTTCGTCCTATCCAAGGGCAAGATGTACTATATCCATTTAATGTACAGGGTCCAACAGATGGGAGGACGAAATACAGCTGGAAGCAACGAATCGTGTGCGCCAAAGGACGGCCCATTGAATAATGTTCATATGGACGACATACCTTCGAGAGTACGGCCGCCTGGTATCTGAGAAGCGCATCACGCATCAAAGGTCGACACAGGTAGAAGAATAGGAGCAGACACATCGGCCACTGGCACTGGCACGGATATTTCCAAAAGTTCAGCGACTTCTATCCGACTATGACAGGTTGTTAGCCGAGACTGTGATAGCGGTTGGGCAAAGGAGAAGGGGGCAAGATGTACTTCAACTGATAGCTTAGGTTGGCAATTATCATGTTCACCGGAGAGATGATCCCCGAGTCCCACGACCGCCAATACGATTCCCGTTGCA